ACATGTGAAAGGGTCGAGTGAGGTGATTGGGAGAAAACATAGGGTAAAACTAGAGGGTCAAACACACACACACACACACACACACACACACACACACACACACACACACACACACACACACCACACACACACACACACACACACACACACAACACCACACACACATCAAAAAGAATATCATCAGCGGCATATGCTAGACTGGCCAACATAAGGACTGCCTTCAGAAACTTGTGTAAGGAATCTTTCAGAACCCTGTATACTACTTATGTAAGACCAATCCTGGAGTAGGCAGCTCCAGCCTGGAGTCCATACCTAGTTAAACACAAGACAAAGTTAGAGAAGATTCAGCGGTATGCCACCAGGCTCGTCCCGGAACTGAGAGGATTGAGCTACGAGGAAAGGCTAAAGGAGCTGAACCTCACATCCCTGGAAAACAGAAGAGTAAGGGGAGACATGATAACCACCTACAAATTCTCAGGGAATTGACAGGGTGGACAAAGACAAACTCTTCAGCACGGGTGGGACACGAACAAGGGGACACAGGTGGAAACTTAGTACCCAGATGAGCCACAGAGACGTTAGAAAGAATTTTTTCAGTGTCAGAGTAGTTAATAAATGGAATGCACTAGGAAGTGATGTGGTGGAGGCTGACTCCATACACAGTTTCAAATGTAGGTATGATAGAGCCCAGTAGGCTCAGGAATCTGTACACCAGTTGATTGACAGTTGAGAGGCGGGACCAAAGAGCCAAAGCTCAACCCCCGCAAGCACAATTAGGTGAGTACAATTAGGTGAGTACACACACACGAGACATGGGGAGGATAGGGCCAAACACTAAGGTAAGGCGGTGGGTAAAACTCTGGTATTCTCGGTAGGGGAGGAGACCTCGGCAAAGGTAAGCTGGGTAAGCTTCAGGATAGGTAATGAGGCAGGTGGGTAATGAGGCAGGTGGGTAATGAGTCAGGTAGGTAATGAGGCAGGTGAACAGATAATGAGGTATGTGCAGGCAGACGCCTAGTCCCTCCTACAGGCAGCTCTCGTCACCCCCCAAACTGCTCCACCAGGAAATGATTGGATAGGATAGTTCTATCCACCAGGATAGAAGATTGGCGGAAGATGCTCAAGAGAATTGGTTCTGAAAATAACCTTTGTCCCAGCACACGCAGGACGCCAGCACGGGCGTCATTTGTTTCAACACAAGGGAAGAAGATTGCTTACATTTTTACCCTAACGGGTGCTAAAGAGTAATCAAGGGTGCTAGAGAGTAATCAAGGGTGCTAGAGAGTAATCAAGGGTGCTAGAGAGTAATCAAGGGTGCTAGAGAGTAATCAAGGGTGCTAGAGAGTAATCAATGGTGCTAGAGAGTAATCAAGGGTGCTAAAGAGTAATCATGGGTGCTAGAGAGTAATCAAGGGTGCTAAAGAGTAATCAAGGGTGCTAGAGAGTAATCAAGGGTGCTAGAGAGTAATCAAGGGTGCTAAAGAGTAATCAAGGTTGCTAAAGAGTAATCAAGGGTGCTAGAGAGTTATCAAGGGTGCTAAAGAGTAATCAAGGGTGCTAAAGAGTAATCAAGGGTGCTAGAGAGTAATCAAAGGTGCTAGAGAGAAATCAAGGGTGCTAGAGAGTAATCAAGGGTGCTAGAGAGTAATCAAGGGTGCCACAACATAACCAAGGGTTAAATCATAAATCATAATCAAACCACAAGTCACAAACAACAGCCACAAGTCACAAACAACAACCACAACTCACAAACAACAACCACAACTCACAAACAACAACCACAACTCACAAACAACAACCACAATCACAAACAACAACCACAACTCACAAACAACAACCAAACTCACAAACAACAACCACAACTCACAAACAACAACCACAACTCACAAACAACAACCACAACTCACAAACAACAACCACAACTCACAAACAACAACCACAACTCACAAACAACAACCACAACTCACAAACAACAACCACAACTCACAAACAACATCCACAACTCACAAACAACAGCCACAACTCACAGACGACAACCACAACTCACACAATCAACACACAACAACACTCACTCATCACATGGGTAACCATGAACAAACACGTCAAATGAGTAATTAACATGTACGTAATGTGTTTTAATTCGTGCGTTAATTAGCAGCAACCATTTAATGAGGTGATTAAGAGAGCGAAAGGTAATTACTGTCTGGCGAATCTCACCTTACCGTAGACTATTCTTTGATGAAATCTATTTGAATTTGACTCTAGATAGAACCACATCAACTGGGAGATTATACAGAAGTTTAATAATAAAACTAATAACATATATATATATATATATTATATATATATAATATATATATATATATATATATATATATATATATATATATATATATAGATATATATATATTATATGAGAGTTGTTGCCTTAAGCAGAGACACTGTGTCTTCCCATATTAACAGGGACTTGATGAAATTAACGTATAAATGACCCCTCACTTGCTCTGGTGCTCTTGGAGGGGTTGATCTTTGGGTATTTAAATACTCCGAAATTACCATCTCTTTTAAGGGTCTGAGCTGGTGCTGGAGCGGTTTAAGGCGTACCTGTTATGCCAGTTGCTGGAAGGCTTCTGTGCTGGCTAGGGTTCGAGTCTCCTGGTGGGAAAGTGTTCTAAAGTATATATATATATATATATATAATATATATATATATATATATATATATATATATATATATATATATATATATATATATATATATATCAAACTACAAAACTATATGTGCAATATGCAGGCGATGAGTCACAATAACGTGGCTGACGTATGTTGACCAGACCACACACTAGAAGGTGAAGGGACGACGTCGTTTCGTTCCGTCCTGGACCAAGATTCTCAAGTCGGAGAATAGTCCAGGACGGACCGAAACGTCGTCATCCCTTCACTTTCTAGTGTGTGGTCTGGTCAATATAGCTGCAATGCATTGCAATGGGGAAAACGAGTTGCAAGGACACTATCACGGAATTTTGATAGTTATCACACGAAAATAGGCACAATTACTGAATATATTTTCTCATTAGGCTCGCGACCAAAAAGATACATTTCAGCAATTACGAATCGAACCCGGGCTATTCGGAGTACGAACCCCGAGCGCTGTCTACTCAGCCATGTGTGTGTGTGTGTGTGTGTGTGTGTGTGTGTGTGTGTGTGTGTGTGTGTGTGTGTGTGTGTGTGTGTGTTTGGCTCTTTGGTCCCGCCTCTCAACACACCATGAAAAAGTAAATCTATAGATCACAAATAATCACAGACATCGTAAAAAAAGCAAACTTTAACTTTTGTCAGGAATCCATCATAAAAGTTTAAAGTTGGTGAGCCGGAACTGCCAAAAATGAGGGAAAAAGTTTGGCGTCGAGATAAAATGGTCAAAGGGAAGAGGTAAAAAGCTGGAGAAGCTGCAGAATTAAATGGTAATTAAGAGAACTAATAACAAGAAGATAGTTCACTAATGAACAGAGGAGAGTAAGAACAACACAATTATGGGTATTTAACATCGTAAGGAATTATTTAATACATCTACAGTCTGGTCTCTAGTGCTTGAGTCTACCTCTACAGTCTGGTCTCTAGTGCTTGAGTCTACATCTACAGTCTGGTCTCTAGTGCTTGAGTCTTCCTCTACAGTCTGGTCTCTAGTGCTTGAGTCTACATCTACAGTCTGGTCTCTTGTGCTTGAGTCTACATCTACAGTCTGGTCTCTAGTGCTTGAGTCTACATCTACAGTCTGGTCTCTAGTGCTTGAGTCTACCTCTACAGTCTGGTCTCTAGTGCTTGAGTCTACATCTACAGTCTGGTCTCTAGTGCTTGAGTCTACATCTACAGTCTGGTCCCTAGTGCTTGAGTCTACATCTAAAGTCTGGTCTCTAGTGCTTGAGTCTACCTCTACAGTCTGGTCTCTAGTGTTTGAGTCTACCTCTACAGTCTGGTCTCTAGTGCTTGAGTCTACATCTACAGTCTGGTCTCTAGTGCTTGAGTCTACATCTACAGTCTGGTCTCTAGTGCTTGAGTCTACATCTACAGTCTGGTCTCTAGTGCTTGAGTCTACATCTACAGTCTGGTCTCTAGTGCTTGAGTCTACATCTACAGTCTGGTCCCTAGTGCTTGAGTCTACATCTAAAGTCTGGTCTCTAGTGCTTGAGTCTACCTCTACAGTCTGGTCTCTAGTGTTTGAGTCTACCTCTACAGTCTGGTCTCTAGTGCTTGAGTCTACATCTACAGTCTGGTCTCTAGTGCTTGAGTCTACCTCTACAGTCTGGTCTCTAGTGCTTGTGTCTACATCTACAGTCAGGACCCTAGTGCTTGAGTCTACATCTACAGTCAGGTCCCTAGTGCTTGAGTCTACATCTACAGTCAGGACCCTAGTGCTTGAGTCTACCTCTACAGTCAGAGACTCTCAGACTGGACAAGGAAACTGTGTATAATGTCGGTCTGTAAACTGGACAGTTTGTTCCTTTAAAGTGACTTAATTTTGTATATATACTTCTTTAAGGGGAAAAAGAAAAGGAATTTTTTTCAGGTTTTTAGGTGAGAGTATACCAATATGTATGAGTTGGAGTATACCCACGTGTATGAGTGTAAGTATACTAGCGTGTATGAATGACCGTATACCCATCTGTACCTTGTGTTTTAACATACAGAAGTGTGCGTTACAACTATCATACGATAATGCTTAAAAATAGGTCTCAAATTAAATATGTAATATGTATTATATTAAAAATATGTAAAAATAAAAATTAAAAATATGTAGGTCTCCCACCTTCACCATCTTCCCAACATTTCGTCACCTTCGCTTCTCTTCGTCACCTTCACTACCCTTCACCACTCACTCTTTCAGCCTTGTAACTCTCTTCACCTCATGACGTCATCAATAAGTAAACTACGTGTGCCCAAATTAACATTTAATCCTGTTGAATAGATGCTGGATGATTCTTAGTGAAGAGTCATTTCATATTTGGTATTTAGCGAGACTGGAAAATGGTATATATGTTAATTTTTGCTAAAAGGGGGCAACCCCCTAATAATTTGTGAACAACCCCCTAATAATTCGTGAACCCCTTAATAATTCAATGTATTACCTCATTACTACATATAAAGCCAGTTGCCAATTATATATTTAACTATCCATAATTTCCATAATTATTTTCCATAATATTGATTCTGAAATTAGTTGATATTATTGGGATATCAGGGAATATCAGGGAATATCAGGGAATATCAGGGAATATCAGGGATATGATGTATGTCAGAGATATTCAATTCAATGACGTGAGTAATATAAGGGTCAGAATTCCTTATAATTCCTTATAATTCCTATAAAATTCCTTATAGGATGTCAGTAAAGGGATGTCAGTAAATGCCAAATATGCAAGGTATATTCGGGTCTTCAGGGGGATGTCAGTGAATGCCAGGTAGTGCAAGGACATGTTAACGTCATCAGAAATATCAGGGCTTCCAGGGGATGTCAGTTTAGACTACTATAATCATAATATAAAGTTTACCATGAGCCAGAATGCATGCACTTTGCATCTCGCCGGAGGTAATAGGCAAAAACCCTTGGGAAATAAATTTAAAATTCGTGTGACGTTTCTCCATGTATGTGAATATACGCTTATATTCCAAGGTATACAAGTCTATGAATATATATATGTATACTATATACATTCACACATGTATTTATTTCACTATTTGTATTATTACTGAATTATAATGGGAGCCGGTCGGCCGAGTGGACAGCACACTGGACTTGTGATCCTGTGGTCCTGGGTTCGATCCCAGGCGCCGGCGAGTAACATTGGGCAGAGTTTCTTTCACCCTATGGCCCTGTTACCTAGCAGTAAAATAGGTACCTGGGTGTTAGTCAGCTGTCACGGGCTGCTTCCTGGGGGTGGAGGCCTGGTCGAGGACCGGGCCGCGGGGACACTAAAGCCCCGAAATCACCTAAAGATAACTGGGAGATAGAGAGCTGGTAAATGAAATGTGGGTTGTAAACACCGCAGACATTTCGAGAATGGTTTATAAAATTCTATTTTTCCCACTAATTGTCTCTCTTATTGGCTGGCTTCTCCCAAGACGGAGAAGTGTGGCGGAACACCTTCTTGGTATTTTGTAATGATTAAAAATTCTTGCAATTACCTTTCATATTTTTTGTCAATAATTTTAATTTAATATTTTGTCGGCTCTTGATTTCTCCATTCATTCTGGATTGTTTTTTTTTTCTTGGTGATTATCTAGGTTTGCATAAAATATTTAATTTTATATAATTTAATGTTCAATCCTAATTTATTGTTTAATTTTATGTAATTTAATGTTTAATTTAATATAATCTAATGTTAAATTTAATATGATTTAATGTTTATTATAATTTAATGTTTAATTTAATATAATCTAATGTCAAATTTAATATAATTTAACGTTTAATTTAATATAATTTAATGTTTAATTTAATGTTTAATTTAATATAATCTAATGTTAAATTCAATATAATTTAATGTTTAATTTAATATAATTTAATGTTAATTTAATGTTTAATTTAATGGTCAAACCTAATTATATGTGTATTTTTGTAATTAAAGTTCAAAGAATTGGCATTTTAGTACATTAACCCGTCATTTACTTATCTTGTTTGTTGAGTCTTTTCTTTAATATTTCTCGTACTTCTTGATGTACCTGTGCTGCCTGGCTCTCTATGTGGCGGCCTACTGGCACTGTCTGCTCCACCTGGCACTGTCTGCTCCACCTGGCACTGTCTGCTCCACCTGGCACTGTCTGCTCCACCTGGCACTGTCTGCTCCACTGTCTGCTCCACCTGCACTGTCTGCACTGTCTGCTCCACCTGGCACTGTCTGCTCCACCTGGCACTGTCTGCTTCACCTGGCACTGTCTGCTCCACCTGGCACTGTCTGCTCCACCTGGCACTGTCTGCTCCACCTGGCACTGTCTGCTCCACCTGGCACTGTCTGCTCCACCTGGCACTGTCTGCTCCACCTGGCACTGTCTGCTCCACCTGGCACCGTATTCACCACTCTCACTGTTTGCTCAACTGGTGGTGGTACTCATGCATCATTCATTCTGATACATTTGCGTGATTCATTGCACTATTCATCGTTGAACGTCCGGCATGACTACTCATGGCACTGCTTACGATACTCATCATGGCACTGTTTACGATACTCATCACGGCACTGTTTGCATGACTCATCGCGGCACTGGATGAATATACGACGATACACTTTGCCTGCAAACCTGTAATTACCCACATAACAACCGGTGATAACCTGCAATTGGTCTATGTCTTCCGGTGCATGGTTGCTTGTGTTCGAGTTTGCCATTTCTGTGCCTGTCTGTGTTCGCTACACTACTGTCTCCGCCTGTCACCGCCTGCTTCTGTCCGTACTGGGGACTGTGGACTCTCTTCGTGCCCTTCATCTTATGAATTAGATGGTAAGAACGCTCTCAAATCTTTGGAGTCAATTTCAACTAGATGCCAGGTGTGTAATTGGGCATTTTCTACTCAACTGTTCAACTATTAGTGGGGAACACATGTGATTAATCGAGGCTTCTCCCTAGAACACCTTTTAACGCATTTACTCACGATTGGTCAAAATAAATTCAGGATTAAGGCGTGATAAGAAATGATAGTATGTATAGATATAGCTAAAATGTTAGTTATATATCTTTCCTCACCTGTAACTTTGCTGTACCTTCCTCACCTGTAGCCTTGCTGTATCTTCCTCACCTGTAATTAGAAAGATCGTGGGTTAGATATAACAGTATTTCGCCCTATTCTATGTGTTATACCTATGAATACATGGATTATATATATGATATGAAAGCATCGTTCGAGTATACATACGCTCACGGACCTATATTATCCTCCGTGTAGGTATATTTGGTGTATACTCCATATACATACATACATATATATATATATATATATATATATATATATATTCAAGTACACTTTACAAGTATATATTATATATATATATATATATATATATATATATATATATATATATATATATATATATATATATATATATATATATATATATATATACAATAAAGTGTACTTGTCATTGGGGGAGTGTTGACCTCCTTCACCCTCGATATTGACCTTATTAGTGAGGATAGAGGTCATAGCCGATGGTCAATACTCTCCCTACAGTATAATCTCCCTGAAGATGAACCCCCTCCTTGACCTCTGTCAGTCATAATCCCTGACTTCAGCGAGACATTTCCCGGGTACTTAATCATTATCTACCGTTGCAAATTTCTCTTGCTAATTACCAAGGCGTTAGGACTAATTGTTGACCTGTAATATCACGTATTGATCTTGTGCCCATTACAGAGAGCGTTCTGTGTTATCCTGTTGACGATAATTATAGATAAAAGATAACGAGGTGTTTCTCCAGAGATATGTGAGTGAAACAAGCCTCGTCGACGTTGTCTGAACTAAACGTGTACTTAGATGACAGGATTTTCGTGCCTAAGTTTGTGAATGCTTCGCCCTAGCTACCCCCTTGCAGCAGTAGCAGCAGCAGCAGCAGGAGCTACAGCAGCAGCAGTAGCTACAGCAGCAGCAGCAGCAGCAGCAGCAGCAGCAGCAGGGGTCCTCGTGGTAAACCGCAAAACCTTGAATTGGTGGTCTGGTTGATATCTGTTTCTCGTCTGGTATTGAAGGCACGCAAATAACGGCCAACATCAAAGGCATATTTGACAGTCATGAAATATTGCGAGTTGGGGTTGAGAAGTGGCGGGGCCCAAGCTTTATTATTGTGTGTGTGTGTGTGTGTGTGAGCACACGCACACACACCACACACAAACACACACATACACAGGCATACATAAACATGGAAGTTAACTCGAAACTGTTTGCATGTTAAATATGTGAAATTATGGTATGAATTCAAAACTTTGATAAGTATTATTAGAAAGTTATCATATAATCAGAATTATTATTTGTTTCTATTTGTTTGTTCCTATTGTTATCTCTATATCTCTTACTCTGTCTCTCCCTCTCTCTCTCTCTCTCCCCCTCCCTCTCTCTCTGTTTTTTTTTAACTAAGAATAGGGTTCATTAGGGCTGTCAACTAAGGTATCTATTGAAACTGCCATCAAGAGCTGTTATCCTATCTCGGCTCATTTGAAGCCTTCCCCTACAGCCTTTCTCTCTCTCTCTCTCTCTCTCTCTCTCTCTCTCTCTCTCTCTCTCTCTCTCTCTCTCTCTCTCTCTCTCTCTCTCTCTCTCTCTCTCTCTCTCTCTCTCAATGGCTTCAGTGCTCCAATAATTAATTCCTAAAGAGAAGAAAAGCTCCTTTGACTAACGGTAAACCGTATTGACGAAACCCAAGACCTCTCGGCCTCGACCAATCACACACTCTCGTTTTCAAACCAACCAATCACAAGAGAGGATGATGATGACGTCACTGAGACCCGTCCATAATTGGGAATAAGATGGGAGAGTTATGAAGTCTAGTCGTAGTTTAAGACAAAAAAAGTCACTTTACTGGCATTGAAAGACTACCAAATGTTGTATTTAATGACATATACAAATCAATGAGAATTTCCGTCTCCTGTTAAGTAATTTAATACCTGAATTTTTTTTCCTATATAATTACGTATTTGTCTGGGATATTTGTGTCTGTGTCAGGTGGCTTTCTTGTCTTTGTCAAGTGTCGTGTTTTATCTGTGTCTGTGTATTTGTCTGGTGTCTTTGTCGTCTCTCAATGTGTGGTTGTAAACTGTTTTCTGTCTCTTTTATTTCATCCTAATTCTTGTTAATTATGAGTCTTAAAACAACATTTGTTTTTAAAACTTTATTTCAGTTGCTGAACTGTGAAAATAAAATGGAGAACATGAAGCCATTAGCAGTCACGTGTGTGTGTGTGTGTGTGTGTGTGTGTGTGTGTGTGTACTCACCTATTTGTACTCACCTATTTGTGCTTGCGGGGGTTGAGCTTTGGCTCTTTGGTCCCGCCTCTCAACTGTCAATCAACTGGTGTACAGATTCCTGAGCCTACTGGGCTCTATCATATCTACATTTAAAACTGTGTATGGAGTCAGCCTCCACCACATCACTGCCTAATGCATTCCATCCGTTAACTACTCTGACACTAAAAAAGTGTGTGTGTGTGTGTGTGTGTGTGTGTGTGTGTGTGTGTGTGTGTGTGTGTGTGTGTGTGTGTGTGTGTGTGTGTGTGTGTGTGTGTGTGTGTGTGTGTGTGGGTGTGTGTTCTCACCTATTTGTTGCTGCAGCATCGAGTATTAGCTTTTGGATCCCGCCTTTCTAGCCCACCAGTTTTTCTAAAGCAATGACTCCAGGCTTATTTCCCTGTTATATCTCATTTTAATATGATGAAGGGAGGTTTGCCCCTACACCCTGCTCCTCCAGTTCATTCTACACAACGTCCAGAAAGCCGACAGGAACTTGGACAGAGAAATATAATGAACACAATAATCACATTATGTGACGAATGTCATCACATCATGTGACGAATGTCATCACATTAGGCGACGAATGTCATCATATCATGTGACGAATGTCATCACATCATGTGACGAATGTCATCACATCATGTGACGAATGTCATCACTTTATGTGACGATTATCAGATAGTTACTTGTTCATAACTTGTTGTTCACTGTTCACGAACTAGTAGTTACTTGTTAACTAAGTTGTTTCTACCTGTTCACTACATGCTTGCCTCTTAAGTTATCTTGTTATACCCTCTAAACCGCTTAGTTCACCTATAACTACCCACCCATCTGAGTAAACTACTCAACGACCTCACATTTAACGAATCAACTATCTCGTTGATGCTTGTTAACTGTTCAGTAATTACTCGTTCACCTCGTTCATTACCAAGCATCTCATCTAGCTAACTACTCAGCCACTGGTAACGATGCCCTTCACTGATAAGATGCTCAATTAACTGTTTCGTCACCAAGCTACAGATAAGCTTACCATACAGTTTCCCATACAACTTACCATACAACTTACCATACAGCTTACCATACAACTTACCATACAGCTTACCATACAACTTACCATACAACTTACCATACAACTTACCATACAACTTACCATACAACTTACCATACAACTTACCATACAACTTACCATACAACTTACCATACAACTTACCATACAACTTACCATACAACTTACCATGCAACTTACCATACAACTTACCATACAACTTACCATACAACTTACCATACAACTTAGCATACAACTTACCATACAACTTACCATGCAACTTACCATACAACTTACCATACAACTTACCATACAACTTACCATACAACTTACCATACAGCTTACCAGCTTTCTGCGCATTTTTCTTGTCACTTGAACTAGCTAATGTCCCTCCAGATTAATCCTAATTTATTTAACTATCATGTGAACCTAATTGCTTGTTGTCTCTCCCCTCTGGCTGGTCGGTACAGCGACGGCCTCGCTTCTTGCAGGGCGGCGTTCGATCCCCGATGGTCCTAAGCAGTTGATGGGGCACTATTCCATCCCTCCGTCCTATCCCAAGCGATGTCTCCTGATAATGACCTGCCCTATGTGGATACCAAACTGGTTCTAACTATTTCCTTTGTGAGACAAGATTGTGGTGGGCGTTCGAGTTAGATGGTTCGTTAATGTGTCCAATTTCCTTCTCTATTGGTCAAGCCCAATTTCCTGATGTAATTGATTCCCGTTTGAGCCTAATTATATGTTCTGACTCCCGCAGGAGGCTAATTACCTAGACTAATGACTCAATTACCTCCCACCCAAGGTAATGGGACTGAGGTTCTGCAACGAGGCGTGTCTTCAGGCCCAGCAGCTGTGGCCTGTCCCTGAGGACGACCACCACGACCACATGAACCTCACGCCGCTGCAGGTGGGTGGTGGTGGGTCGTCCCGGTGGGTGGTGGGTCGTCCAGGTGGTGGTGGTGGTGGGTCGTCCAGGTGGGTGGTGGTGGTGGTGGAGGGTCGTCCAGGTGGGTGGTGGTGGGTCGTCCAGGTGGGTGGTGGTGGGTCCTCCAGGTGGGTGGTGGTGGGTACTCCAGGTGGGTGGTGGTGGTGGGTCGTCCAAGTGGGTGGTGGTGGTGGTGGTGGGTCGTCCAGGTGCGTGGTGATGGTGGAGGGTCCTCCAGGTGGGTGGTGGTGGGTACTCCAGGTGGGTGGTGGTAGTGGTCGTCCAGGTGGGTGGTAGTGGTCGTCCCCCACAGGGCTCACCAAGGTACCCTCCTCCTCCCCTACAGGACACGTTGGTCAAGAGGCTCGGGGCAGGAGCTGTGCCCTTCACCTTCACAGTCTCGTCCCTGGCGCCGCCCTCCGTCACCCTCCTCCCCGCCAGGACCTACGTCGGCGCCCCCATAGGCACCAACTACGACCTCAGGATCTTTGTAGGTGAGTGCTGGGGGGTGTGGTTGGTGGCTCGTGTGGTTGGTGGCTGGTGTGGTTGGTGGCTGGTGTGGTTAGTGGCTGGTGTGGTTAGTGGGTGGTTTGTGGGTGACAGACGGACGGTTGACCGTTCGCCTGTCTGTCTCTCAGTAAATTTAACATTACGAAACCATGAAAACTGCTTAAAAGCTCCACGAGAAAGAAACGATTTCAAAGACCACAATCGGAGGCGATATTTCTTAAAGTGAGACAATCTGGCTGACCCCATCCAACCTATGACAGTCACATACCACCTATGTGTCGTCTTGAATTGTTTTTCCTGAAACTAGCCCTAAGCATCTGGCCTAAAAATAACTTTTGAATGTAAAAATTGAGAAGTGACCCATTTTTATATAGTTTCAGATCCTCACGAGTTGTGATAATCCTGACCTACTCCCTCTGTAATATATCCTCGGCTCTCTCCCTCTCTTCTCTTTCATCTCTCCACTCCCTTACCCATCTCCCTTGCCTCCTTCCTCACCTTCCCTTTGGAATATTCAGAGTGGATTACCTCCTCACCCTTGTTTGGCCTCACTGCTGTTAGGTAACTTGTTTACCCCTCTGTCTCTCTCTCTCTCTCTCTCTCTCTCTCTCTCTCTCTCTCTCTCTCTCTCTCTCTCTCTCTCTCTCTCTCTCTCTCTCTCTCTCTCTCTCTCTCTCTCTCTCTCTCTCTCTCTCTCTCTCTCTCTCTCTCTCTCTCTCTCTCTCTCTCTCTCTCCCCCCTTGACACAAGCGGTGCTGTTAATTGTTGTTGCTTGTGTGTGAGTCTGTGTTCACCTGCTCGTTGGTACCTGCCGGTAATTACACCTCCAGAGCCATATGCTTCACCTTGTTCCCCTCCTTGGTTTATATCATGCTTGGTTTAACACCACTAGTGGTTTATCGTTAAGATGTACTCACCTAGATGTACTCGCCTAGATGTACTCACCTAGATGTACTCGCCTAGATGTACTCACCTAGATATACTTATATATACACTCTTTGCCTATCATTCAACCTCACAACATAGTAGTCAACAACACTCCCACACAACACACTGGTCAATAACACTCTCTTTACAACATATTGGTTATTAACACACTCTCACAACCCATTGATCAATAACATCACAACATATTGGACAATAACACCGTCTCACAACCCATTGATCAATAACACACCACAACATAGGTTATTGATAAGGCTGCGGACCCCGTGTGTTCCTGTGTCATGTGCTGTGACACGTGGATTCAAGTGGATCGCTAAGACTGTGATGGTTATCCCTCCATGGAGTTCTGCTAGTCGCTTGTCAGTCTTCCTAGCGAACGCCTGCCTGCCTGCACCGGCGAACGTAAGTTCTACCTACACCGGCGAACGTTCGTCATGCAGGCAACTATACTGCTGGTCCTGTACAAGCTCTCAGGGATCACCAACTTCGTCTTGGTGAGGTTAACTGGCGTTCGGGAACGTTAACATGACCGTAATTGATCGTTTAAGCACTAGTGGTTATCCCCGGTAACAGGGTGATCGTGTGAACGTTCACAGGAGCGGGTGTAACATGGTGTAACTCTCTCTGGATTATGGGAACTAAAGCTCAGTGATTGGTGATCTCTGAGACAGATTATATGTGAATCTGTCTCTCAGGCTGACTGTCCTGTCACCTTCCTTCTCTCATACTGCCTCTCTCTCTCTCTCTGTCTCTCTCTGTCTCTCTCTGTCTGTCTCTCTGTCTCTCTCGTGCGCCAGACACTGCCAGGTGGTGAACAATAGAATCTGGAGGCGTCTGGAGGTATCTGGAGTTGTCTGGAGGAGTCTGGAAGAGTCTGGAGGTATCTGGAGGTGTCTGGAGGAGTCTGGAGGAGTCTGGAGGTGTCTGGAGGAGTCTGGAGGTGTCTGGAGGTGTCTAGAGGAGTCTGGAGGTGTCTGAAGGTGTCTGGAGGTGTCTATAGGAGTCTGGAGGTGTCTGAAGGTGTCTGGAGGTGTCTGGAGCAGCCTGCGGCCGTCGGGAGCTTGTGTCAACCCTCAAGAATATTTTCACGATAATTATTTATTCCTTGTCATTATCTGATATTAAATGCGTGTCGAGACTTATTGCAGTAATACATCGATGTGAGAAATTGATAGGAGTAGATAAAGACAGTTTACTTAACACCAAACAAGCCAAAGAGACATTAGAAAGAACTATTTTAATGTTAGAGTAGTTAACAAATGGAATGCACTAGAAAGTCATGTGGTGGAGGCTGACTCCATACACAGTATCAAATGCACATATGATAAGAGCCCAGTAGGCTCAGGAATCTGTACACAAATTGACAGTTAAGAGGCGGGACCAAAGAGCCGAAGCTCAACCCCCGCAAGCACAACTGAGTACAAATTAAAAACTACATTAAAAACAGAATATAAATTTAGCGAGACACTCCTCACATAACTACAACAACAACAACAACAACAAATTTTTACTTAACATTTTTCCCAGACGAAATGGAATGTGAGACTTTTTAGAAACAATTTTCTCCTCGTTAAATAATGTAATTTCTTTATTTTAAAATTTTGACTTCTTCAAAGTGTAAACATGACACAGAGTTCACAACAATGACGCAATAACCTTCACCAATCACAGTGGATGAATTCTGGTGACGTGTTTCAGCAGCGACCAATCGTCACCTCTAATGCTATGACGTATTTACATGCCAGCCAATGGCTGTTAGGCGCGTTCACTAACTACCCCCCACAGCAAGTTTTGCCTAATGACTTCCGCAGCCGCTGGCCACGCCGCATATTTCACCCTCGCTGGACAAGGCATATGAATAAATGTATTTTTATCACTCCTGTTGTATCATTCAACTGGAAAGAAAACAGTGTTGCAGAAATGATCGAACTGGAACACTTATCGCTCACGATTGCTGTCGACACGGGTGAGGGACACAGACAGACTAATGACAAACAATGTTGGACAGAGAATAATGTTGACTGTAACCAGAGACGCAGAATAAATGCCTCAGAGCGCCGGCGAATGTGGAATTTAATTTTGTTTTTACTCAACTGATCGTGAGGTGAAAATGATTATTTTATGAACACTTCTCTGACCTCTGATGACCTCTTTTAAGGTCACTCATGATTCTTAGTGTTGTTCTTGGCAACACAAATTATATTGCAACACTACATACTTCTCTTCAACAGGGTAATGGTACCGCCACACACCACCAACAGTCTAATGGTACCCCCCATACACACCGTCAACAGTCTAATGGTACCCCCCATACACCACCAACAGTCTAATGGTACCCCCCATACACACCGTCAACAGTCTAATGGTACCCCCCCAAAACACACTCAACAGTCTAATGGTACCCCAACACACACACTAACAAACCTCCCACCCCTGGTACCCCAATCACCACCCCACCAAGGCAGCCATCCCCTAACCTCTCCCTCTCCTGCCGCAGGCGAGAACCCGGAGGATAAGCCGCACAAGAGGTCGTCTATCCGGATGGGGATGAAGCTGTACCAGATGGCATCCGGGGCGGAGGTGGCCCTGCCCTACGCCGCCGCCTCCAAGCCGCTGCTCCTGGCCGACGGACAGGTGGAGGTGGAAGCCACCCTCGACAAGGCCGTCTACGAGAGGGACGAACAGGTCAACGTTAACGTCTCAGTCACCAACCACTCCTCCAGGAACGTCAGGAGAATCAAGGTAAGTGCAGGGTGACGGGGGAGAGGAATAGTGAGAGAGAATAATGGAAGGGAGAGAGGAAGGGTTCAAATGGGAAGAGGATAGGTGTAGACTAAGGGGTATATAGCACTACGTATATAGCTACTAAGGGGTATATATACTACTAAGGGGTATATAGCAAGTGCTATATACGAGTATATAGCACTTGCAAAAGGGGTATGAGGGATAAGGATTTAGGATAAGGCAGGGACGGGGGATAGCAATGTTGCACCCCATCAATCATGATATTTACTCCCACACAGACACACATTTATGCAACTGAGGTCTTCACGGCATTAATATCACTCCACCCACACTATCATATGTTTCAAAAGTCCACAAATCCTATTTATATCTTGTCATGTCATTCACCTGTGATGCCTTAAGATGTCTCTGTGAGAGAACATTACCTCAGGAATCCCTCCAAGTGTGGACGTCATCTTTATTCATTATTCACTAAATTCTCAGTTATTTCGTGTACTCGACCAATTCCTTGCTTGAATTGGTCTGCCACGCTTTTTGCAGGGTCGGCGTTCGATCTCCGTTGGGCTAAATGGTTGGGCATCGTTCTTTCTCACCATTATCATCATATTCCAGCTCCTTGTCCTCATATCCCAGCTCATTGTCCTCATATTCCAGCTCCTTGTCCTCATATCCCAGTTCCTTGTCCTCATATTCCAGCTCATTGTCCTCATATACCAGCTCCTTGTCCTCATATCTCAGCTCCTTGTCCTCATATCCCAGTTCCTTGTCCTCATATTCCAGCTCCTTGTCCTCATATCCCAGCTCCTTGTCCTCATATCCCAGTTCCTTGTCCTCATATCCCAGCTCCTTGTCCTCATATCCCAGTTCCTTGTCCTCATATTCCAGCTCATTGTCCTCATATTCCAGCTCCTTGTCCTCATATCCCAGTTCCTTGTCCTCATATTCCAGCTCATTGTCCTCATATCCCAGCTCCTTGTCCTCATATCTCAGCTCCTTGTCCTCATATCCCAGTTCCTTGTCCTCATATTCCAGCTCCTTGTCCTCATATCCCAGCTCCTTGTCCTCATATCCCAGTTCCTTGTCCTCATATCCCAGCTCCTTGTCCTCATATCCCAGTTCCTTGTCCTCATATTCCAGCTCATTGTCCTCATATCCCAGCTTCTTGTCCTCATATCCCAGCTTCTTGTCCTCATATCCCAGCTTCTTGTCCTCATATCCCAGCACCTTGCCCTCATATCCCAGCTCCTTGTCCTCATATCACAGCTCCTTGTCCTCATATCCCAGCTCATTGTCCTCATATCCCAGCTTCTTGTCCTCATATCCCAGCTTCTTGTCCTCATATCCCAGCACCTTGTCCTCATATCCCAGCTCCTTGTCCTCATATCCCAGCTCCTTGTCCTCATATCCCAGCTCCTTGTCCTCATATCCCAGCACCTTGTCCTCATATCCCAGCTCCTTGTCCTCATATCCCAGCTCCTTGTCCTCATATCCCAGCTCCTTCTCTTCATATTCCCTTCAAGTTGTAGAGTAACTCAACCCCCAAAAAACTATAGTCCTTGCAGTAACAACTTGATCGAACGTACAGAAATTCATTGTTACAGCAAAAATGTTCACACTGTGTACCAATAATTGCACGAAAAACACTCAGAAGATATTTTTAGGCCTAGTATAGTATACATATGTACGAAATTAGGTTCCTGTAACTGCAATCATTTTAGGACGCTGGGTTATTATACAATTCGTGCCCTTTACAGTCTTCTGACAGTCACTCAACATCAATAACCTAATGATGCGATTATTGTAAACAAAATTAGATTATTACATCAAAGGTCAAAACAAAATAGAGTTCTGAGCATTTTTTGTCCAATAAAAGCGACATATCGGAATGATTATTTACATGTTAATTATATCAGTGGGTAGAGTTAGAATATATATATGCTTTTTTGGGTGGTCAAACGTGCGTTAAGGACTTTGGCGTTTGTGTGTGTTTGTCAGCTGACGGGAATTATACGGATCAATTAATTGTCGCCTTATGACAACATTAGGCAGGAGTGTTGCCATATGGGGAGGATTGTTATTGATGGCCCATGATGTCGTTGGTGGTGATTGTGGAATTTTTAATTAATATAATTACTACAATGGTATTATTACTACTAAAGCTGCTAATAATAATACGACACAAGTTAGCTATCTTTATCTGGATATCTTTATACTCATTCAACATGTTTATACACAATGAAGATATAGATAATTCGCTGGTTTAAGATAGGAATTTGGTAACACAGGCTTGTTAATATGTGAGTATATGCACATATTTCGGTCGAACAACACCATTCGAAAAACATCGGTTGATCAACACTTCAGTCGAAACTCCCAACAAACAAAGAACAGATAAGAGGAAAAAAATGTATAAGAGGAAAAAAATGTATATTAAGTACTAGGACGCTAGAGAGAGAGAGAGAGAGAGAGAGAGAGAGAGAGAGAGAGAGAGAGAGAGAGAAGGTACTGCAGCTCAAATATCACGATCTCTCTCGTGACGGGACCTGTATATTGGTCCTCTAATAGGCCTATATCTGGCCAAGTGATACAAGTACCTTGTTCCTGTGTCGTGCTTGTCTGTTGCTCTACAGGTGCGTCTAGTGACAATGTGTGCGTCTAACCAACTCTCAATAGAGCCAAGTAGCCAAGTAATTCACAATATGTAATCATTGTGTCTAACCACTGACAATATGTGTCTAATCACTGACAATATGTGTCTAACCACTGACAATATGTGTCTAATCACTGACAATATGTGTCTAATCACTGACAATATGTGTCTAATCACTGTCAATATATGTTTAACCATTGTCAATAGTTCTAATCACTGTCTGTATGTGTTTAAAAACTGACAATATGTGTCAATATGTGTTTAAACTCTGACAATATGTGAATCTATGTTTCCCCCTCCACTCACCCAGCTATCTCATCCATTTACTCAACTGCTTACTCAATCAACTGTTTATTATACTCATCTGAATTATCTCTCTCTCTCTCTCTCCCCTCCACTACCACTACCACCACCTACTAACAACAACCACCACTACCACTACCCACAAACTACAACCAAACATGCAACCCCCATCAACACCCACCTGCAAGCATTATTCCCTACCAACCATCACATACCACCACAATCCACCTTCACCAACGTCCCTCGCTACCAACCACACCACAACCACCACCCACAACCACCACTCCACCAACCACACAACAGATCCTAGTGGTCCAGTACGTGGACGTAGCCATGTTCAGTAACGGCAAGTTTAAGAACATCGTGGCGACGCTAGACACAACAGACGGCTGTCCCATCACTTCGGGAGCAACACTGACGCGCCAGTTCGAACTCCAGCCCGCCAGAGGACCCATCAAGAACTGGATTGCCCTGGAGGAGTTCTACGACAGGGAGAGTGCGCTGGCTTCCTCCGTCGTTAGACCCGACGCCCAGGAGAGGAACGTCTTCGCTATTTACGTCAGTTATTACGTCAAGGTGAGCACGGGCAGCGTCTGTGTAGGGGGGGAGGGGAGGGGGTTGTTTGGAGAGGTGTCACTAGCACCTTGGACACTGGTTGCTTCCCTACGTACTCTATGTAGAGGAGGGACCCCTTTGGTACTATTCTAGGCGCTAGGGCTCCTCTTTGGTACCATTCAAGGCGCTAGGGCTCCCCTTTGGTACCATTCTAGGCGCTAGGACTCCCCTTTTGACACGGCTCTAGGTACCAAGAGAGCTCATGGAACCCCTCTCCAGGAAAGATTCACTCCTTCCCCTAACTAGGGGGTCACCCATTTCTTGTGCAAATCTCCCACCTCCTACCCCCATGCTAACAAGGTTCCTCCCCCCCTGCAGGTGAAGCTGTTCACTAGTGCCATCGGGGGTGAGGTGAGTGTCAAGGTGCCATTCAAGTTGATGAGACGCCATACCGTGGATGATGTGGCCACCAACACCTCTCCCACGACAGAGGTCAGTCACCCTCCTGTCTCTCTGTCTATCTTGATTGACAGGTAGCGGTGTGGGTGCACCGTTGTATGTGTGGATTGATCAGTGGTTGATGAATGGATGGTTAGGTTTATTGATGGATGCATGCATGGTTGATGGTTGGATGAGTAGTCTTATTGATGAGTGGATGGATAGATGTATATATGGATAAATGTATGGGTGGATAGGCGTGTTGATTGGTGGATCGATGGTAGGATGGGTGAATGGCTTATTGGATGGATTAGTGGATGAATGTCTTCTTGGGTGGATGGTCTGCTAGGTGGATGTATGGCCGGGTGAGTGGATGAGGGAAGGTTTTACGTGTGTGTGTGTGTGTGTGTGTGTGTGTGTGTGTGTGTGTGTGTGTGTGTGTGTGTGTGTGTGTGTGTGTGTGTGTGTGTGTGTAGCTCTAGCTCCTGGTTGCCTGTCGGTAGGTCCCGTTGCCTGAGCCCCGTTATCCCGTTGGCAAAGGGGTGTATGTTACCTTGTCTGTTTGTCTGTTTTAATGGCTCTGTTTTATTAACCCTACAAAGACTCTTCCTCTGTGCAGCTTTGCTAATAACACACACACACACACATACACACACACACACACACACACACACACACACACACACACACACACACACACACACACACACACACACACACACACACACACACACACACACACACAACTAGCTGACCGAGACGGATGTAGTGATGAGACAGCTACCAGCAGCAGGAAGTAGCCCCTCACAGTACTCCTCACAATACTTCTCGCAGTACCTCCTCCCTGCAACCCCCCCCCCCCCCCGCAAGCCAAGACTCAACAAAGCAAGATCGGGGAGCGAAGATCTCCCTTGAAAAAAGAAAAACTATTAGAACAGCAATTCCTGGAATGGGTTTTCAAGCTGAAGAAGCAGCTTAACAGTTTAAAAATAAAACAGGTAAGCTTAGAAGCGAGGCTGCCAAGACAGGCGTAATTACCGATGACTTCGCACAGGTAATTCGAGGTTGGAAATGTAATTAAAATCAATTATGTTTCACAGTTGCCAGGGGGGGGGGAGTTGAACAGGTGAACAAGCTCCACGAGGAAGAACAGAGGTGAACAGATGCAACTCGCAGAAAAGGAATGAGAAGCGTGCAAACTGAACGTGAAAAATAATTACATAGAACAGTAGTATAAATTATGAACACGCCATTGAACAGGTGTAACTAGAGGCCAGGGAAATGAACACGAGGGAAGACGTGTTCATTTCTACAACTGAACACTGAACACGTGACGTGGAAACACGTGAAAAAATGGAAGAGGAAGAGAACGCTGAAGACAGAGACTATCAGGCAAAGAAGGGAACTGCCAGAAAGTCAGAGAACTACTCGATAGAAAGGAGTGTCAAAGGGAGGATTGCGACTAATATAAGACTTCACAAAGAGGAAAGCAAGAGATTATCTTCATCCCAAACGTGAGACTAAACAGGAAATACCAGTCCCGGGGTCAATGGCCAGGTCCTAGAATACATAAGGAACAGCAAGAGAACATGCATGAGATACAAAGAAAAGAGAACAAAAGTGAGCCGGAAGAGAGAGAAGAACGTGTATATACTAACAAGAAGAAAAGCTTGAATATGAGAATATTCTCATATTCTTCAATATAAGAATATTCCCATATTCTCAGAGAATATGAGAATAACAAAAAATGCAAGACAAATACTGCTCTTCCGAGCAGTAACATTAGAGAATATCTTTGAGGAGAATGAACAGGTAAACAGGCAAGAAAGAGAGACACGAGGGGTCGGTTGTACAAACAGAAAACAACAAAGAGATGTGTGTGAGAGGAGAAAGCGAGAGAGATTCCTGGAAGAATTTCTCCACGTGCCTCAACCCCCAGTAAACACTGACGACCAGAACTGACGCAATACAAATCAAAAGTTACGCAACAGAAGGTAATGAAACACTCAGAGAAGCTGAACATGACACGGGGCCCAAACTAGCATCTCGCCATTTATGTTGAATGAGGCAGTTGGGAGCAGTTATATTCACTTCGTTATATTCAGTTATATTGAGTAATAAGAATGAATAATGAGATGGAGATCAGATGAGCTTAACGTGACTTTACTGAGCTCAGCCACTGAGTGAATTCCTCTCCAAAATCTTACATGGATTAAAGTATAAATGAAGGAGAGATTATTGGAAATTTGATAGTAATAATAATAATAAAAATAAAATGATTGTAATAATACAGCAACAACAACAACAAATACAACAACTAATACAACTACGACAGTTTGTCCAACTAATGCAAAAGAGAAAATCAGAAGCCATGAAGAGGATTCGAACCTGCTCACTTGCTACTCTACAACTGCAACAACTACAACTATTACAACTACAACAACTACTACTGCAAAAACTACAACAATTCCATCAACGACGACAAAAACAACAACAATTACAACAACTACAGAAGTTGCTGCAACGTTTAAAACAAATACAACAAACTACAGCCAATAAAACAATTACAACTGAAACAAATACAACAGCTATAACTACAAGAACCAGAACGACACAAAACACTACAAAACTACAACTACAACCATTGCAAAATCTGCAGCAACTACATCAGCTGAAGTTGTTGCAATACAACACATGTTACAGCTACTGTAACAACAACTACAACAACAACAACTACAACAACAACTACAGCTACTGTAACAACTACAACAACAACAACTACAACAACAACTACAACAACAACTACAGCTACTGTAACAACTACAACAACAACAACAACAACAACAACAACTACAACAACAACAACTACAACAACAACTACAGCTACTGTAACAACTACAACAACAACAACTACAACTACAACAACAACTACAACAACAACTACAGCTACTGTAACAACTACAACAACAACAACAACAACAACTACAACAACAACTACAACAACAACAACAACTACAACTACAACAACAACTACAATACTGTAAGAGTATTGTGAGCAAGAGCAAGATGAGGTGTAAGCAACAGAGTGCCAGCAAGGTGGCACCCCTCACCCCCCTCTCCAACAGTGTGCCAGTGTATAAGAGTGTAAAAACACTACAAACAAATCTCATGTATACAAGCACACTATAATACATACAAGCACAATACACAATACATGGAAAGCACAGTGATAATTCCAAAGCACTGAGAAGCATGTATACAAGCAGGAGAGTATGCGTTCATACATACACGCACATACGCTGCAATACATGCCACACACACACCTTACAAACACTCACCAACAACTTGGCAAACAAAATCCAGCTCAGCTTAGCTTCCAAACACACAAACACAGTGTCAGCGAGGCGGACAGCCAGACTGCTTTTGTAACTCTTGCCTCATCCTCTACCCATTCACCCACCTGTACTCCTTCTGTTGTACCCCTTTCTTTATCCACCTGTACCCCTTATGTACCCTTTCTTTATCCACCTGTACCCCTTATGTACCCTTTCTTTATCCACCTGTACCCCCTTATGTACCCTTTCTTTATCCACCTGTACCCCTTATGTACCCTTTCTTTATCCACCTGTACCCCTTATGTACCCTTTCTTTATCTACCTGTACCCCTTATGTACCCTTTCTTTATCCACCTGTACCCCTTATGTACCCTTTCTTTATCCACCTGTACCCCTTATGTACCCTTTCTTTATCCACCTGTACCCCTTATGTACCCTTTCTTTATCCACCTGAACTCCCAGTGTACCTTTCCAGCATCCACCTGTACCCCTGCTCTAACCCTTCTTCATCACCTGTTGCAAATTTAGTTTTGATAAAAGTACAAAGTATGGTGAGGTTGTAGAATTGTGTTGTAGTTGAAGTAGCACACCAGATCAGTCAATTCTGTCAATTCTGAGCATTAAACGATGTGGAATTGGATGATTTAGAGGACGACGATGGAGCTGGGAGTAACGTTGCTCCTCCGGTCATACAGTCGTTTCCAGAGACCAGCGGGGAACCTGCCATGTCCCCGGAGCCCTCAGGCAGCCTCCAGCAAGCCACGCCGCCCCCCCTGCCTCCGCCGGCCACCCAGCAGGAAGCAGATGTCCCCGATAAGCAGGCAGCGCTTCCCCAGGAGGAGGAGGAGGAGGGGCAGCAGGGGGGACGGGGTGGGGCGGCAGAGGGGGACAAAGTGGTAGGGGGGACTGCCGGAATCTCCCGATGTCTTCGCCTCTGTCGACTCTGCCTGGGTGTGGTGATTCTGCAGCCTCACGCTAAGTCTCACACATCTCTCTCTCTTTCTCTCTCTCTCACTCACTGTTTGCATCCCACACTCACCGCTGTGTCTTTATCTCTCACTGTTGGCACTGCCTTATTCCCTCTCGTGTCTCACTTATCTCTCAGTGTTTGCATCTACCTACCCATCCACCCGGACGTGTCTATACCTCAGTGTTCGTGTCTCTCACAAGTCTCTCACCAGTTACATCCTCCCGCGAACTCTAACTTCTGCATTCCCTCGTCTCGGCAACAGTTTAGTTCCCCCTTAAGAGACGCCGCGAGGCACGTCCCTCGTTGACCAGGGGCCAGATTCACGAAGCCGTTTACGCAAGAACTTACGAACCTGTACATCTTTCCCGAATCTTTGGCGGCTTTGTTTACAATTATTAAAAAGTTAATGAGCTCCGAAGCACCAAGAGGCTGTTTATAACAATAACAACAGTTGATTGGCAAGTTTTCATGCTTGTAAACTGTTTAATAAATGTAACCAAAGCCGTCAAAGTTCGAGGAAAGATGTACACGTTCGTAAGTACTTGCGTAAGTTCTTTGTGAATATGGCCCCAGGTCCCTCACCTTCAGGTGGACGAATGAATCATGATTACTGACTTCAGACCATTACTAGAGCACAAGGTTCGTCACGATATCGTGTTAGTGTGGCGTTATCTGCTTGTGCTGTGACACAAGCAGCAGCAGACAGTGATAACAGGTGAGTGTAGAGCAGCGTGTGACGTCACGGAAGG